TGATACAATGTGGACTTATGTATTGGTGCACCTCTAGCAAACATGATATCCAAAACCACCAGTCACTTTGAAAATTAAATCCCTAATGAATGTATCATATGTGCCATTCAAGATTCATACAGAGCGAGTATAAAAATTATAATGCCATTGTACATGCAGGGGAGTAAAGTTAGTGAAATGCTTTTTAAGCAATTGGAGTATAGCTCTGTTTTGTAGATAGCCCTACACACTGTTGCGCTCCTTCAAAGTTGATAGGAGATGGTACTGGTGTTTCATTGTTTGTGTTCTTTGAACTCCTGGTGTTGTTTAGAGACAAAGCTCTTGTTATTATCAATAAAGCAGAGTGCAACAGTAACCATACTAAGCAAATCTAAGCGATATCTCCTAAACTGAGAGATGATCATACAAGGGTATTCATATGAAGTGAAGATTGAATAACAAATTCAGACATAGCAAATTTTAAAAAAGAAGGCTCTTTTTTCAGATCTGAAAACTGTAAAAAGTTGACAAATATGTCTTCCTAATTCCTAATGTCCTCAGTGTAGAGATAATGTGATCTTAACATAGCAAGCTATACAGATCAGCTTTTTTAACCTTGCAATTATTTGAGTGGGTACGATTTTGTTTTCAAATCTTTCTCATGCTGGCAGTCGGATCAAGAGGAGGATGGAGATCTAAAAGCACAGGTACAGAATGAAAGGTCACATATGTTATTGAACTGTGGGGTGTGCAGTGTTCATAACTCTTAGCATGCAGTTTGTCAATTCTCTGTGAAGAAATGTGTAGAACAGCATTTTGTATCCTTTGAATATTGTGTCCCTTACCTTTCCCTTTCTTTTTCACTTCTTTCAGAATAGTCTGATTAAGCGAATAAAGGGTGAAAATGTGTATGTCAAACATAGTAATCTAATGTTAGAGGTTGGTATTGGTATATACCAGTGCATGTATTGTACCTGTGTGTTCAGTTTTAGTGGTAAACTTGTGGATCTGCGCTATGATGCATGAATTGTGTGGTCCCACCTACTAATAAATGAAATAGATTTTTTTTCTCAGATTATGACGACTTTCTCTACCGTGTTCTATACTCGTGTGCGTGTATGTATGTGTGAAGTCTCTTTATCAGATATATAACTTACAGAGATGTTGGTAAACGCTATTTTGATGCTCACATAAATGAGATTTTCTATGCAGTTATCTTTCAAAATATCACATTTTCACAAGAGTGTTGTGTCAGTGCTGTGTTCCCTGATATCCTAAAATATGACTTGTTATCTACTTTACTAACAAAATTACATATTTTGATTTTTTGTAAATGTTGGTTGGTTAGGTAAATGTTATAAAGCGCTGTGTGCATTTTTTTTTAACTCTCAAGGACCTAGACAAAACTCAAGACCTGATGAAACACCAGACCAATATAAGCGAGCTGAAACGAACCTTCTTGGAAACCTCTACAGATACCACAGTATCTAACGAATGGGAAAAGAGGCTTTCCACATCTCCGGTCCGGCTTGCTGTAAGACATGAGGAAGCTCCCATGATTGAACCACTTGTGCCTGAAGAGGTCAGTACCTACCTTTTCATCAGAAACAGTGAACTGTGTATTTTATGTAACTCTTCTGTATTGCTAGGCGCATTCAACACACTTAAAGAGAAACTCAGAATCTCAACAACCTAGGACACGGGCCTTCTTTATCATTGCCAAGAGTTCAGAGAAAAACAAATAAAGAAAAGGGGTGTGGAGCCTGCTGCTAATATGAATCTTGCCCAAGACTGGATAAGCTGAAATTTGTTATCTATTCCAGGCAAACAGATTTCTGCTTCCCAAGAAGCATCATCACAATTAGCATTATTGTATAGCAGTAGGGGACAGTAGTGAAAATTTAAAGAAATTGGACCCCTATTTGGTTGTACATAAGGAACTACAGTGATGGGAGAACTGTGTTAGTCTAAAGACAGGCAGAAGGCAGTGTAGAGATTCATTTTATAAACCAGAAATGTGCTTATTCAAGTGGATAATTAAACTTTCCCATTTGGAGACATTTGTTCTTTGAGCTCCATCCAGGGCTTTCACTGGCCCTGCACATTAGTTAGGTGGAATGATTTTTTTTCATGTACCTGCCCGACATAAATCTGTTGGCAAACCTATGTGATCTAGACTAAGTCTCTGAGTTGTCTATAATTTCAGACTTGAGAGAGGGTCAATCGTAATTGGAAAGGAATAATCCCAAGGCTTTTTAACACATCGAAGACAGAGCACTTTGAAATTATGGTGATTTGTACACTGAAAATGACTAAGAACAATCTTTAAAAGAAGCATTTCTATGGTGGTAGTCCACTTCCAACATAGTCAAACAGTATCTTTTAGAAGTAGAGGCTTCTAAACATGCAGATTTTTTACCTAGAGAGCTTAGTTTTTAAGTACTACATATGAATAGTGTTTATACATTCTTAGGGCATATGACATTTTGAATAACTTTTGGAAATCACCACATTGTTGTACCGTGAATAAAGTACAATAGCTAGCCTTCCACAATAAAACAGCCAGTACTGAAAGCCAAGCCACTGCACTAAGACTGTGGCAGGATTAACTATGTGATAGCACTCATTTTTCTCTACTCTGCCTGCCTTATTAGCACCTATGTGATGGCAAGATGCTGTGAGTTAAGTAGGTCAAGGGGAACTGGCTGTAGCGTGTTTATCCAAAATGATCTTTAGCATTCCCACCATAGCACAAAGTGTCCCTGAAAACGCACAGTCTTCCTGGTGAGATCACTCCACTCAAGGAGATCCTTTAGTGGCATACAGAAAACACAGCAGTACCTGTGCCACCTGAAGGGATGCTGCCAAGGAAAAGCTACCCTGTTCTCTTGCAGTATCTCCCTATCCAGCATGCCCTTTGGTGCTATTAGCAGCTGACATAAATAAAAACAGACTTCATGTCTGCTCTGAAACGAGCAAGGAGGCAGACCTAATACCGAGATAACCTAGGATTTGGCAAAGGGCAACTTTTGCATTGCTCCTGGTGAACTGTGCTGCTCTGTCTTTAATTGTGGCTGAGGATTGGGCTTGTCTGTGTCAGAACTAAAATTCTAACAACAAAGCAGGTTATACTGAACATGTTAAAGATGAGGAGAACTGCCTAGAGAGCATCTAGCTGAATAACTGAGTGAATGAGGCTGAAGCAAGGAAAAGCTGCTTGCAGCAATCTGGTAACCACCTAAATTCACTTTCTCTGTATTTCAAATATAATAGGATGCTTTTCACAAGCAGCAAAGCACTTCATAAAACATGTCCTAGAGAAGTACATCTACATGATTCATTTGGAAAGATGAGTTACAGGGATAAGAGGCTGTATTTTTCTTTTCTTTGTTTTTGACATAAGAGAACACTCTCAAAATCTACGTCAGTCCATTGCCCAAACCTTATAAACATAAGCTGTACTCCTAAATCTTATACTCATATATGAATTTTAGCAAAATGCTTAAAGATTAGAGTTGTTTTGGACTGAGGATAGGTGAATTCCAAACTTTGATGGGCTCACTAAACACAACAGAGTACCTTGTCTCTCTTCACCAACCAGCTTAAGTATGACGCTGAGACAAGTGTCTGTCAGGCAGGTTTCAGACTTCTTCTAGGTCAGTAGCACTACCTTACATTCTGAAAGGAGACTCAGTGGAAGGAAAACAACAGAACTTGTAACCAGAATGCCAAAATACATGGTCAGTGTTAAAAACAAACAAACAAAAAAATCCCACATCTTTTTAAAATGTTTGATAGGGTTTCCTATAATACCTAAGATAGCTGTAATGAAACAAGAGTGGAGGAAATAATATCTGAATTTCTTGTCAGTTTGGGTACTTTGAGCATTTTATGTACAGTTGTTTTCATTCTTATCCCCTTGAAAGTTCATAGTCAGTGTCACAATGCAGTGAGGGGGGAAAAACAGGAAACATTGTTTTTAATACCTCAACCCCTGGCTCATGGGCTAATGTTAGAGCTAGTGAGAAGAAGCCAAATAGTAACTGACTGTTGACCTGAATTAAGACAGACCTAGGAACCTACAGAAAAAAAGCTACAGCTCTCATCATCACCTTTGCCAGTTTTCTCTCAAGTTTTGTAAATTACCTGTCTGTAAGCAGACTGACACCATTCACATGTTTTCATTGCACAATGTAGGACACACATCATGGTAAATATTGAGAGATTAACATATTATCACTTCTGTAGTAATACTTGTAAAAACAAAAAAAAATGACTTTTATAGTGAGTGGATAGGTTTGTGCAAAAAATCCCAGTCCCCCAATCTGAAGAGAGACTTGGTCTCACAGCAAAAAGAGTGGGCAGCCCCAGGAGTGAGGAGGGCAGCAGAGTATATGTTCACCCAGTTTGAACAAGTAAAGGCCGGGGGTGTTGGTCAAACCAAAAGAGGGTTTGTGTCACTCTTAGGTGTGAGAGGTAGGAGGATACTGGAGCTGGCACCACTTCTACAGGTTCTTGTATTCATTGGTTGGCCTTGAGGACTTCAAGCTGATTGGCCTCTTCACTTTCTCCCAATAATTTAATCTTTCCTCTTGGCTGCAGGAGCACCTTGTCCTTTCATCTCATCCCACTGCCTCTCTGTAGCTATTGTGAACAAATTGTGTAGCCATGATGCTGGATGTCTAATCAGTATTAATACAGAAAGTTTTCCTTTTGGGCCAGATTTACAGTGATGTGCCAGTCCTCCTTGCCTTGCCTCTTTTCTTTGCGGAGGCACTGTTAGGGCTAAAAAGAATAGGACTTTTTATTTTTCCTTTTTATAAGAAACTTTTGCTCGCCTAGTGTTTAAGAGCCAGCTCCCAGAGATAGATGAGATGTGGCATTTTAGTGATGGACCTTGTACCTGTAAGGTGAGTAGGTGGGAGGGACCTGAAGTTTTCACAGTCTGAGGTTTCCTGAGTACTATCTATCATTCTCGTCCTCCCCACCCCCTCTCATTCTGCCCCTCCAAATTAAGTGCATGTGTGCAGAGTGAGCAGGATGAAGGATTTGCTCCCAGATACTGTTTATATGGTGGGAGCCTCATAACCTCTTACTGGATCAAGTTAACTTCTGGTATATGAGATGGGGTAGATACATGCCACTCATACCCATTAAGTTATTAAACTTGGAGCCTGCCACATAAAATCCATCTCCACGTCCTGTTTTACAAGCAGGGTCTGATTCAAGAGATTCTCAATGATTCTGCTGAAAAAAATGTTGCTTGTACTAATTCCTGTTTCATTAGTTTCTCAAATGAAATAGCCTGTCTGTTAACAGTTTGCTTATACTTGTATATTTAAAATATTGTTGACTAATATGGTATAAGATCAAAACTATCTCCTCAGCTCTTTCTCTTTCATTAGACCAAAGAAGACAGGGAAAAATCTGGAAAACTTATATTTTTGCAGAAGGGAAGTACCACATTCCTTGAATCCCAGGTAAAATGAAAGCATGATTTCTAAAAATGCAATCAAATAGACTGGTACAAATTTACCATTTTTACCATTTTCCTTTTCAAAACCTAAATTTTTAAATAAATGTTCCAAAGGTAAGTATGAATTTTGTGGATAGAATTTTGACGATAATGAGATACCATCTAAAATTTTTGGCTATCTAATAGAAAAATATTTCCTTATACTGACAAATCTACTCACATAGAGTTGGGTTTTGTTTGTTGGTTGGTTATTTGGTTTTGTGCTTTTTCCTTTCCATTTTGCATGCAATTGCAGAGTCTCACTAAAAAACATTGCACTAGGCAAGGCACTGTTGTCATTAGAATGAATCTCCTTTATACTGTCAAGTGAATTCAGCTTATCTTGAATTATGATGAATTTTGAATTCTTATTAATTTTTCCATTAGCCAAGGGAGATAGAGAAGAAGCTGCAGGAAGGAGAATCTGCTGGCACTGTGGTTACTTCTCATCAAATCATTATCCAGAAAAGTGTCCCATCATCCCTAGAGGTTATTTTTAATTCATTTGATTTAAACCAACACATTTGTTTAGTTAAATATAAAACTATTCTAGGGCCATGTAATTGGGCCACGAGTATGCTTTTGAAATAATTCACATAGCATATTTGTATTTGGAGAAAAGATAGTTTTGCATTATTCTCAAACAATAGTTGTAATGCTCCAGGCATTTAGTATATTGTAGAACTTTATATCTACAAATACTTTATATTTGTAGATATAAAGTTGAATTTATATCATGCCAAGGAACTTCATTTTTTTAATAAGAACCAGAAAATTCATCTGACATTACAGGTGTGCACAAACATGTACTGTTCTGAGACCCCAAAACATTTCATTTAAAAAGTGCTTGTATTAACTGGGGAATAAATCACTTGCTTAGCTTACATTATTTTGTAACTTTTATAGGAATATGGGTATGTTGTTGTGATATATGACTTTAAACCCAGGATTATTCAGAAATTCATAAATGGCCAATCAGATTATTTCTAAAATACAAAAATTTTTAAATGCTATTCAACTGAAAATGAATGCAATAAAAGGGAGTGTGAAGTATTTTTGTTCCCATATTGTACATACCCTTTCCAAAGGATTAAAAAGAGGTTTTTAAATAAAAAGTGCAAATTGTTATAAGTTTACTTTATTGTCTCTACCAAATATATGGTAGAAATTATTACATGTTTCAAAATACCCACCATGCATTTCCTAAAAGATTTAATATTTTGGTGTTCCTGAAACAAAGATAATCCATTAGATATTCTAATTTAGCTTTTATATTTCAAATATAGGGCACTGAGGATTGGGTTATTATAGACAAAATACCCTCTGAGGTAGTTGATGGTGAATCGAAAAAAAAAGTGCCATACAAAGTAATGACTGTGAGCCGTAAAAGTGACATTCCAGCTGAGATATTAAAATCCAGTACCATTCTAATGCAGAGCTTTGAGGACTTGGAAAGTGAAATGCAATCCAAAGAGGAGAATAAACAGAAAATGTACACCTTAGGAAAGTCGTATGATACTGTATCCGGGAAAATTGTAATCATGACAAGTAAAGCTAAAGAGGGAGAGAAAACAGTACAATCTTCACTAGACGCCTTTCAAAAATTGGAGAGGGAAGTGCAAGAATCTGTGAAGATCATTCCAGTAGTGGCTGAATATGAAATTCTAGAGCCTGGCACTGATGAGAGAGCCAGGCGGGTATCTGATGTGCAAAGCACGAAGAGGAAGCTGTCTGAATCTTTGACACCCATAAAGGAAGCAGAATCTCAGTTGCATAGTCCTGAAGAAGAAACTTTGAAGAAGGCACAAAAGATGGACCAGAATTTGCAGTTGCATGGTACACTGGGAAGTTTGCAGACTGGCAGAGCAGAAAAACACCTTGACAGTGAAGCCCTAAAAGCAGGGGCATTTGATCGGAAAGATAAGAGCCTGTCTGAGTGGAGATATTCCAGAGAACAGCCATTTACCATTGCTACTGCTCACTATGTTACTGAATCGTCTGCATCAAGAGTAGTGGTAACAAGTGGCTTTGAGTTTGTGCCACAGTTTAAAAATTAAAGCATGACTTCTTTAGGCAATACCCTCACACTACCCTGCCTTTCAGTTCTCTTGCTGCTTGGTTTTATGTTGACAACAGGCAACCCAAGCTTATTTTTTTTCCTCATGATTTAAATCAGAACCACGGTCAAAGCAGGCATTATCAGGCTTTAAACCTTTCAAGTTTATTTGAAGAGTCACATTACTGAAATGTAATATTGCTGCTGTGGCTGATTAATAAAGAAAAAAGGTTTGCTTGAACCAGCAAAATCCCAGTGCTAACAGTTATGCTTTTAGACAACTGCTTCTAGTCATAACGAATGTGTGCTAATTTATTTTCCCATTCTTTTCCTGTTTTCAACCTTTTTGTCCCCGTGACCTTCGCCTCTTTTCCTCTGTCTCAGCCTCCAGTTTTGTCTGTTAGCATATCTGTGTTTGTATGTCTGTCTTTCTTTAGTGTATGACTCTACATTTCTTTGTCTACTTAGACTAAACAGTCCTCCGGTGAAAAAACCTTGGATGGTTCAGATATCTTCAGTTTAATAGAGTCTGCCAGAAAACCAACTGAGTTCATAGGAGGGGTTACTTCTGCTCCCCATAGCTGGGCTCAGGTGGCCGTTTGATTTCATCCATGAATTTAATAATTGCACGCAGCTGATTTTTGGTTGCTTTTCTTCCCCATATTTGCACATAAATATGTGACCTCTCAGAGAATTTAGAATCTGCACAGTTAATATTAATGCAGATGCTTAATGTGCCTTTTAAAGCTAGATCACCAACAGAATCCTTATCAAAAGTCAAGTTCTAGTCTGTTTTAAGTTTGCATTTAACTCATTTTATAAGGTGTCTTTTTTACTTTTGGAAAATTAAGACATTGATGCAAATGAGAATACTGTAAAGCTTCTGCTTTTAAAATGCTAATTTGCTTTATTTTGCATTTGTGCCATTATAATTACCTTAAAGTGGAAAACTAAACTCTTCAGGAGATGCCAGTTGGCAAAGTTGAATGATCTTTTATTACCTGTATTTACAGTGTGTTGGCAGTAAGAGCTCTGGTAGGTTTTATTCTCCACACCTGACATTCAGATTTTGTTTTCTTCCTACAGAAAATGGAAACAAAGATAAGTCAGGAAGCAGATGAAGTGAAAGAAGAGGTGGAACTTCATCTGGATGCCATGGAGAAGGTTGTGCAGGAGACCGTAATAGTTGAGGAGAGACATGTGTCAAGTGTGCATGCAAGTGGGGATGCTGCTACAGTGGCTGGAGATGAGCTGGATGCTAAAGAACAGGCAGTATCTGCTGCTGCTGCTGCTAGCTTTCTAGGGAAAGAGGGCTCTGCAGTGACTGAGGGGGCTAAGGAGGAAAAAAGGGAGGAGACTGATAAAGCTGTAACCAAACAGGAAGAAATTGCTTCTGCTTCTCATGCGCATGAGGAGGAGCAGAGTGCGACAGGCCACCTTTCAGATTCATTGGAAAGAAAACCTCACTTTGAGGTAATTCGTTTAATAATCCCTTGTTTCTTCATTACAGTAAAATGGTTGCAGGATTGGACTAAATTAACTTCACTGATGAAGAGTTAAATAAAACATATGTAGATTACTCTGCAACATCTTTACAGTGAGCAGTTTGTTTCTCCTCTGTTCCCTCCTTGCATGGCAGTTGATGAGGCTTGTTGCTGGTTTCCATTATTGACAACGTTTTGTCAAACGGTGTTCCCCATGCTAAAGACCAACTCCTTATTTTTTGGCCTTTAATGTTGGTTACATAACAATAAGGAGATGGATCAGTTTGCATTGTCTTTTGGCAAGTTCATTAATATTTGTAGGAGTTCACTTATCCAGAAGGAACAGAAAATCATCTGTTTTCTCTTATTTGGTACCCCTGGAAATAACTTACCTTATCGGGCTTAACTACCCAGATTTTGTATTTCACACTTTAATGCCATTAAGATGATTTCTGGACGTATTTATACTAAGGGTATAACACAGCCTTCTCTTTCTGAGAGAGAATTGCAAGAAAATAAGCCTAAATAGAAATCTCTTGTCCTGTCATTTTGAACCTTTTTTAATATTAGCATCTTTTCTAAATGTGGATTTCATTAGACCAATAGAGCATTAGCTTTATACACTGCCTTGGAGTACTGCTGACATATGTCTACGTATGTATCCTTATAATGAGGTTTTTCCCCTTTCCATAGTGCAGAGCACTTTCTGTTGTTGTTTTTCACTTCCTAACCAAACCATTTGAAAAAATCTATTTTGATAGATTTGAAAGCTTTAATTAATGCTCCTATTGCTTTTCTGTTCAAGCAGTCACCAGTTGTGAAGACAGAGACTATCAGTTTTAGCAGTGTTTCCTCAGGTGGGGAGAATCTTGAAGTTTCTACCAAGGAAGTGCCAGTAGTTCATACAGAAACAAAAACCATTACATATGAATCTTCACAGGTAAGAAACTGCAACAGCTGAATAGTATCTTGGTGTAAGTCACTACACTGTTAAATAACAGTGTTGCCAATAGTAAACCTGAAGTGGGTATAAACGTGTAGTCTTACCCTTATATGTATGAGTAAATGGTCTTTTTGTAAATGGTGTTTAGGATACAGATTTTGGAGCTTGTTAGACACATAGCCTTAAGAAAAACTGAGTAAGATGCATTGTAATACAAGTGGAAGTACTGTCAAACATACAATACCATGTAATGAAAAAACTGGGATGAAAACATGAAATAATATCTAAGTTTTATGAAAGGTGCACTGACAACTTGTGGTCAAGGTCCCTGACACTTCTAGGATTAAGGATGTTAATCCTCGGGTTTACATGGAATTGCAACTTGATTACTGCAGCTGTAGAATACAACTGTTTTGCCTGTCTATCCAAATTATCTGTGAAATTCCAAATGCATATCCATATCTTTGTGCCATAAATTGTCATATGCAATGCGTATATATTTTGTAACACTGCTGTATTCCTCTTTAGGAGATGCTATATTTCAGTGGTGGGTAAAGACATCTCTGCCTATCCCTTGGATGTTTCACAGCACTACAATAAGGCTTGAATGGGTAGTATTTGCAAAGCACTTTGAGCAAATTACAGATATTTGACAGAATAGTCCATCAGTTTTATTAAAACAGTCTGAGAGCAATTAGTTTTGTATTGCTAGGCACTCTCCTTCTCCAGAATTATACAGATAGGAATCTTTAACTAATATGGATAATACTTTCTGCTGCTTGAACATTTTTTCATGAGTTACTTTTTTTTTTAGATGGATTCGGGTGCCGACTTAGACCCAGGTGTACTGATGAGTGCGCAAACGATCACATCTGAAACTACCAGCACTACAACTACTACACATATCACCAAAGTAAGTTTTCAAAAAATGGTGGGGAGGGGGGTTATTCCTAGAATATGTATTTTTGCAATTTTGACAATACAAAAACAGTATTTATTTCAGAGCATAGCTGTTCCCTGGGTGGAATCCTGTCCATCTTAGGTGACAGTTTAGTTCCCGCTGCTGTAGCTTAAGCTTCTGACATCTCTGTGAGGAAAGGAATTGTGTAGCAACATGCCAACAGGCAGGAAGTCTGTGGCAGAGTACATTATGGAACCCACAACTCCTATGCCCTGGATTGGCAACCTGATGCCTAAGACCATACTTCCTTCCATGTAAGCTAACGATAGAACTCCCATTAAATCTGATGGGGAAAAGATTTCATCTCTGTAGGACAGTGGTCTCCAACCTTTTTAAGTAGCAGATCACATTTGGCATTTTAAAAGTAATCCAAGATTTACCATGCACTACTGCCCCTCCCCCCCAACCCAGCAGGTAAGTCTGTGGAGGAGAAATGGGGGTGGGGGGGACAGATCGAGCCAGAGGGACAAAAACTATTTGGGGGCAAACCTCCACAGCAGGTAAGTCCCACCTGGCCGGGGCCCCACTCAACTTACCCTGCTCCTGCCTCTGCGGCACTGTACCTCACCGCAGGGACCTCAGTCTAGCTTCCACCTCTTCCCTCCCCCATGGACTGACCTCCTGGGCTGGGGTATGCGCATACATGCATGAGGGCACTCAGCCCTCCCACCCCAGTCTCGGATTGATTTCAAGGGCCTCTGAGACCTACCGCAAGAAGCTCTGAGATCTACTAGTGGATTGAGATCCACTGGTTGGTGACCAGTGCTGTAGGCGATCCACACAAAGGTCCATTCACTACTTGAGTCTAAGCCCTTGAGTAGTTAAGGAGGAGCAAAGGCCTTGTGCTTCACTCACTGTGTTCGTAAATGTGATATACATACTTGCTATTCTTTGTCAAGGATGTCTAATGGGTGGTTCACAGGTTGCATACAACCCAAAAGGGGTTAAATTGCAGCCCCTGGGCTCCCACCTGACTGTCACTTTTTTCATTGCTCTAACTACAAAAGCAGCCAGAGTCTTTGACTTCGTCTGGCTCCCCCTCTTTCACTGTGGCAGGTGGTGCAGGACCATGCAGCATTGCACAACTGACAGCATTGCCTATGGCACCAGAGAGGAATGATTCAGTGTGGGGACCGAGGCTGGGGAGGCTAGGATTCACATGGGGTCGGAGGCTGGGTTATGTAGGATTCACGTGGTGCGGATGGGGGGCGGCACCCAAGAACATGATATAGCAAGTGAGGGTGAGGGGAAGGCGAGGGGAGAGGCACCCAGGCACATTTTGCAGCAGGGCAACACAAGCTACAGTGGGTGGGGGCATGCAGCGTGTAGTCCATGAGGCATGCGGCCCTCAGCCACTTATGGACAGCCCTGCTTTTTGTGGCAGACTTGCAGTTGATGCTAAACATTTTGACATATCTGATATATAACAAATACGTATAAGGTTATGAAATGCTTCTGAGAGTCCTCCAAGGTGAACTGTCCCTGTTCCACTATTGCTGGATTTTTGAACTGTTTCTTCTTTGAACAAGCAGCAGCACTACTAAGTGTGGACATTGATTTGTATTTATTTTTTCCATTTAGACTGTGAAAGGAGGCATCTCGGAGACAAGAATTGAAAAGCGAATAGTCATCACAGGAGATGCAGACATTGACCATGATCAGGTGGGATATTTAAAGTACTAAATAGTGCCCCAAAGTCTATCAGAAAGTACATTTAACCATATGCTTTAATAGACGCAATTCACACTGGCACATCTTAAAGTAAGCTGATTTTAGTGTTTAAATCAATGACAATATATTTCATATTTTAATCATCTTTCCTCATTTGTAAATTGTGTAATTTATCATGAATCTCTCCACCTTGCTACTGATCATGCATGTTCCACCTCCTTTTTGTTTTTGCCCTTCTGTGGTTTTCTTGGGCTTAGGCGCTGGCTCAGGCAATTAAAGAGGCCAAAGAGCAGCACCCTGACATGTCAGTGACCAAAGTAGTGGTACATAAAGAGACAGAAATCACACCAGAAGATGGGGAGGATTGACCCACAGGTAAGAAGACTAGATGATTTTCCAAGGTACTTAACGGGATAGCATGTGGCAAAGGTCATTCTCCTTCCATAATTCACCTCTCGCTTTTTCCTTTCTCTCACTGGCATTTGCCTATATTACAGAAATATATTATTTGAGTGCTGGTATATAAATGAGAATTACTTCTGAAATCTACTTTAAATCCAAATAATATGCATTTGGTTCTAAATGTTTTTCTTTGTTTAATGATGCCAGTTAGAGAAATGGAACTTAGTCATTTGCTTTGGTTGGCTCTCTGAGTAGTCTTCTTTATCCATGCTATGTATTCCTGTACTTTCTAACCCTCAAGTCTGAAACCTGCTGTCCATCCGTATATGACTTAAGAACAAAAGTGTTTTGTTCTTAAAGGTGTGCATTTTAATACACTTTAAAATGCCAAGGGAGATGAGCAGAATTAAAATTGGATAACATTTTCCAATGTTTAAGGACAATTATGTCAGAATTGAGGCTTCTAATCCCAACTTGTATAAATATAGTTCAATTTGGTTTTGTAATGTGTCAGTATTTGGATGCTTTGCTTTCGTGTATTTTTAAAGGACCTTTTATGCTTTAAAGTGGCATTGTTTCTCAGGATGAGATAATAATGCGGCTTTTCTTGTGTCTAGCTTTCTTCAGTCAGGGCATGTTCTTCAGCTGTGTTTGGCTAAACAGGTGTCTTGGTAGTATTGTATTTACTGTATATGCGAAAACATATCATGCATACTAACTAACTTGCTATGCAAGAACTGTTAATGCCAGCATCATCCCATAGGTTGCGTTGAATGCTGTATGCAAAAAAGAAAAATAACTAAAAATGGCTGCGTGTCCAATTTATTTGAATTCATAGCAGCATCTTATTACATATTCCTTATGTGGAAAGCACGTATACGTAGCACTACGTATTCTTTAGCATTTGGTATAAGTAACAGAGTATGGGGCATAGCATCTTTTGAAAAGTTATTGCTTTCTCCTGCTTGAGACAAGAAAATATAAAAGCTTAACGTAAATGTGGCTCACTACTATTTACTTCGGAAGATGGAACTAATCTTTAAGGAGTAAGTACCAATAACCACTGTGGTATTCAGCTAGTTCTTTCAGTTAGAACATGACCTGGTTCAAATCTCATGGAAGTCGATGGGAATATTTCCATTGACATCAATGGGCTTGGGATCAGGTTGCCTGGTTAGCAGTTACTTATACTAGAATGTAGCTTTTTTTGATGTCTTTTGTTCCCTGAAGCATTGAGCATAAGTCATTTTGCAGCTTTGATTTGGACACAAATGCAGTTGGTTTATACGATTAACACAGTTCTCTTTCCTACAGGAATAATTTAGCTTGCATATGAATCCACACCATTAGGAATACCAGAGCCTATATGGAATCTCAGTTCTAATCAGACTGACTTATGTCTGTCCATGGAAAAGAAGAATTGATCTTGACCGCTAATAAGACACTGGCAGAGATACCCTCCCATAGAAAGCAATCTGAATCCGCATCAGTAAAACTATTGCATGAAGCAACGATAAAATTACAAAAAAGCAGCATTTTTAATTTTCATAAAATGTCTAAGTTTTCAGCTATACCTGCACGTTCATAAACAGTATAAACAGTGATCTTACGTAACACACAAACAGTTCATGCCTTTCACGGTTTACAAAAGTCTAAACAAATTTAAATTTGTTAGGTGGCAAACCTTTTGTTTACGAAGACTGTAAATGAAGATTACCCTAAAAATGCTAGAACCTGTATAGGTATGGTGTATGATGTTTTACCACACATTAGATGTGCCAATAACACAGTTTATTCAGTAAACAACTTGAATCTTCTGTCTGTTTCATCTGGTTTTATTATTGCCCAACAATGATGAATCTTTAATCCTATCAAAATATTTAAATGCTTACAAAATGTGCTTTGTATACCTGACTAAATACCTTATGAGATGGTGATGATTTTAGCTTATTAACTCAATTTTATTTGTTTTTGTCAGCATTGTTCAGAGTTAGTCAGCTACCAGACACCCCATACAACTCCTAACCCTGTAAATTTTTTGTAGTTATTTTGGAGAAAAACTGTATTTTCCTTAGCTTGTAGCATTACAAAATTATTAATCTGAAATAAGCCTGATTTTTTTTTTTAAATTGATTTTTCCCTTTTAATTCTCAAAGAAAAAAAAAACCATTTCAGAACCTGGTCAACATTTACTATCTAGTTCAGAGCCAAGCCTTAAATTGTACAGAACATCCCCTCATTAGTATTCAGTCATAATATCCATTAAAAGGATATAGTCTCCATTACACTGTCAGCTGCATCACAACACATGGTGAATGTATGTTTCCGCATAGTGAAATAAAAGTGGTAAATGCATCTAAAATTGTATTGTTCTGTGTTTAAAAGAATCTAGTGCTTTTATATATATATATAATATAGTCCATACCTAAGTAACACTTGTATGATATCAAAGGCTTTATTCATCTGAATAGTAGACACATCCTGTCTTCAATGGAAAATGCTACATTTTTAGTTAGCAGGGGGCCCAAAGGGATAATTAGATGAAAATGTATGCCTTTGGGTAAAATTGATTGCAAGGCAAAAGGAATGGCCAGTTTCTTCTGTTTTCTGTAGCTGTAGAATCTGTTTCACTTAAAGTAAATGAAGGGTTTTACAATTGGCTAAAAACTTACAATGAAACTATAGCATTGATCCATATTAGTTTCATTTGTTCGCACTAAATCACGATTAAATTATTTATTTAAGATGGTCCTCATTATTCTGTTTCCTCTTGCTTACCCCCTGACCATATCTTGGTGGTGATTCAAGAGAGATCCATGGAGGCTAACTCACCCACCCACAACATCATAAACCCAGGTAGGACTGCAAGGAATTAAATACAGGCAAAATTTCCAGGATATTCAGGGCAAAATGTTCTTGATTATGTACACAGATTAAGTGGAGATAGCTTCAGTGGAGGGCTGGATTTGACCCTATGATTTATTACAAATATTTATTTTCTTAATTTAGAAAGGAAATATGAGTATATATATAAATATATATATATATATAAAGAGAATCTGTAGATAATTAAAAAATAATCTTCTAAGGCTTTTAGAGATCTGCCCTTAGTCTCTTAAACTGACCTCTTCAATCATCCATTTTTCATGTCTTTTGTTCAAGATCTTGCTCTGTGTAACTTTCCCCTTCCAATGAAGCAGTCATCTCTCACGTATTATGTAATAGATAATGCAAAGATTATGCTGTTATGTTCATAGTCTCCAAGTTATCCATTCATGTCCTTCTTTCTAATCGTGCAGATGTACAAGAAAATATCTGTGTATATTCTGTTCCTTCCCAGTGAAGTTAGAATCACATATTTCCCACCTACACCTGTCCCATCCCTGCCCAGGTTATGGCTGTACATGGAAGGCTTCTATCCTATTTTTCAGCAGACTGCATTCCAGGATCATGCTTCTGCATCAAGGAGTTTAAAAATAGACACGGAAGCCATATTGGTCTCCCTTCAGGTGTCCCTTACCTGGTCAGCTAAAAAACAGCATTATATTACCTCAGAGAAATGTGACAGGCTACTATACTGCCTTCTGTCCAGACTTACCCTTAGCATTATATTTTAGCATGGCTTGAGGAGATTGTACTTTGGTGATTCTGTACAGCATGTATGCCATCTAAAGGTACTGTAACTTTATGAGGCTAGTCTCTTTAGAAAGGATACTCATGGCTACATTATGGCCTGAGCACGTGCTGATTAAGGGAAGATTAGAGTGGATGGGCAATGAATGACCTCTTAGCGTCACTGTTAGCAGCAGACCTTTGCCTAGGGTAATTCCTGGGCATGGTTCCTAGGAAATAATAGCTTTGGTTTTTGTTAGAAACTGTTTCTTGGGTTGTCTGTCTAATGCTGTGCCACATGAAATAAAGAACACCTGCCTGTTTCTACCAGCCATCTTTTGTCTCAGTCTCTTCTCACTTTGGTCCTTTTCCAGTTTCCATGCCTGCAACAATCCATACAAGGAAACAGCCACAAGACCAGCATTGTTTAAAAACACCATCACTAATACACAGACCAATGCAAGGAGAAACAGGGATCATCATTTCAGACAGTACAGTACTATGGGAACTGCCTGTTCTGCATCATTAAGATAAAGGGACCTTGATGCACAGCTGGAAGTTAGTGGAATTTGCATATCAGACAGTAAGGCTACATAGCAAGTATGTTCATTCTACACACAAAAAGTGTTTACACAAAGCTTCTCATATATAAATATACATATATATTCATCCTTTGGAATTTTTTTTTATTCCTCTGAAGCTTTTTGAGGTTATTGTAATGATGAGTAATAATATTGACCAAGTTCAGGCATCATCGGAATTTTTCAGATGGGCTTCCAAAATCAGATGTAAGGTCAGAGCATAATTTTGATATCTTTAGGTCTTGTGCTTCAAATCACAGCTGTGTCAGATGGCTGAGAGAGAAGTCCTCATTCAGTCCTTATTAAAGTATTTTTCCTTGTTAGCATATTTGGCAAATGAGGCCAACCTGTAGATCAAGAAAATTGCTCCATAAAAGTTAGTATTGTTTGGATTGTGGCAATCACGATTTCAGCAATTCGTTTAATTTAATCTATTGGCTTTTCGCTGATGCCAATAACAATCTTATCCTTTCCTATCAGAAGGGGCAGTGGAGAAGTATTATTTCCCTTTTATAGATGGACACTTAAGGCACAGAGGGCATGTTCAGACAAGCATGCACATTCATTTCCCTGAGGAGAAATTGCCACAGCATATAGTTGTGCCACTGCTACTTGTTGCTGGGCAATGCTCATACACGTACACTGGCATGTGGCAAGTTGCCCTGGGATAAAGGAGGCTGGGCTGGCCCCAGCAGCCTGACCTGGGAGCTTCCCAGAGCTCCAGTAGCAGCAATCTGGTGCCTGGCCAGCAGCTGGCGTGTAGTCCAAACTGGCCAGGCTCTGGTTTTGGGTGGTGCACACTGCTGCCACATGCACCACCCTGCTTTTTTCAGGCACGAGTTTTCAAAACCTGCTGTACTGCAAATTAGCAGCACAGTGAATGCCTGCATGTGTACTGTCTGCAGTTGGCAACACCGCAGATGGGTCTGCAGTGCTGCAGGCCTCACATACACACTCACTGGAATGTACCCAGAGAGACTTGTCTTATGAGAGGAACAGAAGTCTATATCAGACATAAGGAGTAAACCCTGCTTGGGATTTAAATCCAGTGCCTTAGTTTTACTTCCTCTTAAATGCAGTTCTAATCTATTTTTCTAAAATGTTTATGCACGCACGCTAACATCTATGCATTCCATAGATTATTTGTAAAACTTTAATTGAAGACACCAGCAACAGGCACAGCAAACATTTCCAGTGACCATTTTCTACATCTCCAATTCAGTTAGTCAAGCAGATGCTTGGTCAAAACTGATATCATGCTTTAATACTTCAGTAACCAAAGGCTTTGGCAAACTGCAAGACCCTTGACCTTCAGATCCTACACTAAAACCTGTCTTCAGTCCTCAAAAATCTGCTGCTACCATGAAGGACTCCAGGTAATCTAAGTCATTTTGGTGGTATGTAAAAAGAAAAGAAAGTCCACGTAAGATAACTGTCAAGCCATATCCAGTTTATTGGACTGGATGCGTAAGACTTTTTCATATTCTGATTTTAGATCCTCTAATGCAGTTGTTTCCAGTCTTTTTGCCTCAAGCCGCCCCTTCATAATATCTTTGGAATTCAAGGTCACACAGGCTGGGGAAGAGCGAGAATCTAGTTGGTGCCAGCTGAGATGGGCACAAGACCTCACCCCACTGTGCCCTGATTTTTTCCTGTTCCCCATTGCAGCCCCAGCTTTGTATCAGGGGGCATGTACTGCTCCTCCAGGGGCTCCAATGCTGGCAGCCAGAGCTACATGCACCCACAGCACTTCCTGCCAACCCCAGGAGCCCATGAAAGGGAGAAATGAGGGGTGATCCAAACTGAAAATTGTACCCTGCATGGCTGCTCATCTGTCTGCCCACGAGCACGCATGCAAAGCACGCTGCTGGGAGCACAGAGCCTGGCACA